TTTCTTTTCTTCTTTATTCTATGATCTATTTTTTTCCTTCCAAATAAATTAGTTCATGCTGAGTGCTCCTCTCTGTGGAGCCCTAAAATCTTTTACCCAAACATACATAACACTTATAGCACCATCGCCATATTTTCCCCTCATATGAACAGCATCCACCTCTTCAGTCTTCAATGGGGTTTTCTTTACCAGACCTATCCCCATGCTCACAAATGCTTAATTGTATCTATCTGGCACATTAATTTCTATAAATGTCACCTCAAATCCAAACTGTCTTTCGCTACAACCAGGCAAAACAGTCACAACAGCCTTAAACGTTCGGAAAACCCTTGTCCTCAATTTACTTTCCCATTGAGAAAGTACTCTTTGTTCCCTGAGCACTGAATTTACTCAGCCGTGTGATGACAAATCTCTAGACCAAAAGCGAGCAATCAGTTTTTGTGCGGGGGTTTTGTTTGTTTGTTGTCTTTCCCCCAAAGAATTATCACAATTTATTTCACATATCTGACCTCTGAGAACAATGTGGGCCATTTCTAGATACACAATGGGAATACATCTAGGGTCTACAATGTTTGCCCTTTTTGTGTCTCAACTATGGGAGGTAAAGCTAAAAAAAATAGATTATTCCAGTATGATCTGTCTCTGTCCATCTCACACCCCTCATTCAATCAACCAAGGCATCTCAATTCTGAAGCTTGTTATGGAAATCTGAAATAAACCTCAAACAGTCAGTTTGAGTTTGAATTTACTTTGCAAAGGGATCAGCCAACAGCACAGCATGCATACTCCTGTCATGCATACATGACTGGAGTATGCATGCTATTTGACAAAGAGGTATCGTAAGTCTAGATTATGTGTCTATCTGCCATGATCACAGTATAAAGTCAGTGTGCAAAAGATACTTTACAGCTCAACATGTGGTATATCTGAAAGATCACGCTGAGAAAGAATAAGACTGTAGGGAGCTTCTCACTGAGTAGGTTCAGCTTTACACAGAGAAAAAGATCATCTTAAAATTTTCCATCACAGTATGCATTGGGGTATTAATAAAGTCTGTATGACTAAGCCCAGTAGCCCCTGGTTACAGTGGCTTAATAAAGCATACAGAAAACAAAACACTTTCTGAAGTTGCATCAGAAAGTGCTCGGACTCTTTCACTTTCTGCATAACTTGTCTTACAGTTTCTAAATGTCTCAAATGACTTGCATAAATGGCCTAAAATTCATGAACCATAAATAACAATGAGAATATTTTTTGTGTTTTTTATAGAATTTATTAAAAGTCAAAATATGAAATTGCTCACTTAATAAAAACTTAAGACCTTTAAATTTACCAGTGCATATGAGCCGTATCTCGGAAATGCACACGTAGATTTGTGCAGTTTATCCCACTCAGTGTGGCGCATGCTCTCGAGCTCTGTCAGAAATGTGCGAACTGGACTCTTCACAGATACTCTGGGGGGTGGAACCCTTATCTGAACCAAGTTCCTGAGGTTACTTCAGTAATATCTTTTGCTTTGGGTCATTAAAATGCTGAAAGCTAAACCATTGCCCTATTCTCAGATCACATGCATTGTGGGAGAGGTTTTCTTTGAGTACCTCTGTGTGGGACTACATTCATCTTTTCTTTAGTTCTGGGCAGCCTTCCTGTGCCTCTGCCGAGAAGCGCTGCCATACTACAATGCTGAGGCTCGAGGATGGTGCTAGTCCAGGGGATATGTGGACTACGTGTTTGGCAAAAAAAAGTTTCTGGAGTTTGACTCATATTCAGTTGTGTGTCTTCCCAGTTCAGATGGTGATTTTTCCTTATGCGCTCACTCTACATTTAAGTCAAACCCTCACCACGGTCTCCATGTAGCCGATTGCCAGAGGAAGCAGAGAAATACTGAACCTCTATTACAGTGATGCGTTGGGCTCTTGATCACCTCCCTGACTCAGGCCCTTCTTGCTTTATTTCCCATTTTAGCCAGATGGTCAACTCTAGGTGGAGTCCAGTCCAGACACAGTATGTGATTTGGTTATGCTTTTGTAAAATAATTAAATTTTCCACTGCATTCAAGTTCTGCCATCTGTTCACTGCTTTATTAACAGCAAAAAGTATTTTTTTAATGTTGAGGTTGTCAGAAAAAGAACATTAGTTTCACAGCAAATGCATGTTTGTTTGTTGGTTGGTTAAATGAGGACTTTCTGAAGCCTCTTTACAGTTTGTTGTCCAAAATACCAAACTTGCACTGAATTGTTACTACTGGGAGCTTCACTGTTTTGGTTCCTGTTTAAAACGTTACCAAGATCGTTCAAAAGACACACATACAAACCAAACCACACATTTTCCCCACACTGTCACTGTCCTTCTAAAAGGAATTTTTCTCTTTTATTTGTTTTTTTGGTTTGATTTACTTTTTGGAACTACTTGTTGTTGCAGAATCTGAGTTTGGTAACTTTACAGTGCTCAGTGGTTTTCAAGTATTTTGAGGCAAAAACACACTAAAGGTTAAACTGGATTATTCACACCTGCCAAAAACAAAAACAACATATCTTACCCACAGAAGAACCGTGTCATCAGTTCTTCTCTTAAATATAAGCACTTTTCTTAAAGCAACACCATCATCATCACTTCATCATCAAATTTTCTACATTTCTGGTAACGGTCCCTTTGTCACAAACAGACGAGTAAGTTAAAGGCTGAGTTTAATTCATTTACTGACAAAGAGAGAAAACACACATTAATAAAAGTCAAAGATGTTTTCACTGAAAAACTCTCCTTGTTATTTTTATTCAAATTTCCAATGGATAATGCAGGAATATTCATTTCACCATGATGGAAGTGTAGTAAAAATCAGATATAGTGAAAGCTTTTGTTCAGCTCAAGCCTTTCCTTTGAGAAGCCAAGTTTCTCTCAGAAAGGATGGGTTAGGTTTCCTTTTCAGCTTGCTCGGCACCATGTCAGCCAACTTCTCTCCACAGTGGAGGCATTTGGGCTGAAACTATGGCCAAGCTAAAAACTCTATAGTTAGTAGATTGTCTTGACTGCTTGTGTTTTGCTCTAAAACACAAGCAGTCCACCACCACCAACACCACCCTCGCAGATTTTTGTTTTCCTCATCAACACCAGTGAGGGCCTTTGATGTGCACTAATGGTAAATGCAGCTGCAGTTAAAGGGAAAGTTTACAAGATGTTGGTGATGGTTTGGAGATGATGGCGCACATAAAACAGAAAGGAGGCAGAGCTGGAGTTGACAGCTCCATTTAAGCATTTTGGAGACAAAGTAAGAAAAGCAAGACTGAGATGAGCTGAACTTGTGCAGAGGAGGTATAGTGGATATATTGGGAAAATTATCTTAAATATGGAGCTGCCAGGCAGGAGGAAAAGAGGAAGACCACAGAGAAGATTCATGGATGTAGCAACCCCTAAGGGGACCAGCTGAAGAAAGAAAGCTTTATGGTCAGTTGCAACGACAATTTATGGTTGATGCCACATTTCAAGGGGCACACCTTTGGGGAACCACTCTTTAACAATCACCACTCAGAGTACGTCACGCAGTGGTGCTGCAGTGCCATCTGTTGGATACCCTGCTATCATCTCTCAGAACAGTGTTTTGTAGAACAAATCTACTTTATGATTGCATCAGTGGGACTAAAGGATTGATGTTCTAAATAATGCAAAGACTGTTTAATAAACTAAGATGAACAGAGGAAACCAGATTAAGTGCAAAATCCTGCTCCAGCTCTTTTATAAACTCTAAGCAGCAAACAGGAAAAAGTTTTAGATTCTTCACTGATCAAGTAAAAATAAAGAGAAAATATACAAAAACAATGTGCTTGTGTGCTGCAGTTAGGTTAGGTTAACCTGCAGTTAGGTGCTGCAGGTTTAAGAATCGGTTAAGTCACCTTAAGTTATTTCTACTGCACAATGACAGCTGCTGTGTTATCTGAGCTTCCAGGGAGACATGTTGGTACTCCATGATGTACATCAAAATATGAGGCAAAAGTAAAGGAAACACAAAAAGTAATAAAACCATCTCAAATAATATTTATTCATTGTGACAGCCTCAAGTGGCCTAAATGTACAAAAACTGTCATTCATTTGGGAAATGCACAGTGGGCATGCCTTTTTATAAATCTATGCCGTAGTTCATAGGTTTCATTTCTCCTTTCACTGGGGTGAAAACACCTTCTGTTTTATATGGGACTGCAACACATTTTTATCCTTTGCTCTCCCCATACTGAAAAAATGTTCTACATTTTGATTACCTTTAATTTTTGAAAATCAACACCCACCGTAAGGGAAGATAGTTTTCTAAAATCTGCCTGCAAAAGCACCAAAACGTTTCACTGTGGGTCTCCTGCAGGCTAAAGTGTTATTTAGTTTCCACACTGCAGCAAAGTGGAAAAATGTTTGTCACTGCAGATTTCAAAGGTTGTGCAGATTTCTTTGGAATAGGCTTTAAAAAAAATAACCACAAAGAGAAAGAAAGACAGCCACAAGAATTGCAAACATCCACTGTGTGAAACTTGCTGACGGTACCTGGCACAGGGTTTTCCCCTGTGTTGACACCTATCTGTCAGTGTCAAGAGAAAGCTGTTGCTCTGAAAGAAATGTGCTAGCAGATGGATGGATGGCACCATCTCTGAAAACTGAACTGAAATAACAGCAAGGAGCTCATAGAAATGTTACTGGGACAAAATGGAGAATGCATGAAAGTAAAACTATGATTGAAGGAAAAGAAGAAACCTCATGTTCCTTTAATCGCTGGCTGTTTGTGGAATTTTTGAATGTCAGAAAAAGTAAAAATAAAAAATAAAAATAAATTTCTTCACATCCTTTTCAGCACTAGAAGCGTGTCCCTGATTTTCCCACACAAACAAACTCTTTGTCCTATATTGGGTTTGTTGGGATCAGCTCATCCTGCTCCCCACCAGATATTTATTTTTCCCTCCAGGACCACTAGAGGGCAGTGCTTCAAAAAACAGTGAGTAGATCTGCTTCCTGTAGCACAAACACGGAAAAGGAGTTGCGGGAAGAAGTTGTTGAACTTTGTCAACGCAGTGATAGTAAATCTTCGTTATTTTTTGCTTTCTGTTTTAATCTAACCAACATTGTTGAAATCAACAGCCAGTTGATTTCGCCTAACCCACGGAGGCGGGTGGATACGTGTCTGTCTGCCTTTATTTGTCGATTTTCACTGTTTTTGAAAGCGAAAGCAAATTGAAGCGGGCCTGTGAAGCCATGTCTGACAACATGGATGAGGATGAGCCTTTACCTCTCCAGCAGGACCTGACCTGCCCTATATGCCAGGGCATATTCCGGGACCCGATGTTGCTGCCCTGCACCCACAGCTTCTGTCGGGAGTGTCTGGAGGAAAATTGTAAGCACAGCAAAACGTGTCCCGTCTGCAGGGTGGTGTGTGACAAAGACAAGGCCATCGCCAATCGTGCGCTCAATAGCACCTGCGAGTCCTTCCTTAAACAGACGAACAAACGACCGAAAACCATTCAGTCCAGTGAGGCAGTCTGCAACCTGCACCTGAAACCCCTGGAGCTGTACTGCGAGAAGGACGAGGAGCCGGTGTGCGTGGACTGCGTCCCTCTGCACAGCACCCACAGGCTGTACACACTGAGCGATGGGGCGCCCATGTGCAAGGTAAGAGTTCCCCCAACCAGTTTGTCAGACTATTCTTGAGAAAGAAAAAAATGCTATGCAATCCTGTTTCCACCAGCAGGAACTGGTTTGTTTGAGATTTCTTCAAAGCTGACAAACTGTAGTTGCAGCTGCTCATTTAGTAATATGTTATGGAAAGATGTGTAATTAACAGTAAGGCCAGTGCCAGACTAAAAAAGAAAAATTGAATGTGGATTCTCATTACAAATAAGTTTTTAGTCTAATACAGGACTTAGTCATTTCAATATAGTGACTTCATGGTGGTGACTTCCTCATCATTGGACCGTTTAATTCACCAGATGTCACACTCTACTACCAGTATTTTATGTTGTAAAGTTGTGCCAAATAATAAACATGCCTTGATCACCTCACCTTGCTTCACAATGCCATGCTTCTACTCACTATAAAGATGAAAGCTCTCGTTTTACCCCACAGTGAAAAATGGAGACATAGCTCAAGACCAATACAGCAGCTTGGGCAGGGGTGTTTCTGGTTCATCAAGCATTAAGGCCCTTTCTATTAGCGGTGTAGGTTCTGACATAATGTCATCAGCAGCAACGGTGACAATTTTGGATCTTTGGTAAAAGTAGATAATTTAGAGGTTCATTATATGCCCATAATCTCCCATCAAAGACAGAAAATTGTTCACAGGATCGTTACTGCAGTCTGTACAACCACCCAAAGTACCTCAATGAATGCTTGTGAAT